TATCAGGTTGGACCGAAAGTAATTACAATTTTTCGGACGCAAAAAATTTATGGAAACAGCCATCCTATCTTTTCCATATTTTAGCATGATCGAGGGTCAAGTATGAACTTACTGCACGCCCGATTTGAACTTCCAACCTTTGCTACTTTTGAAGTTATGAGGCAAATACGCTGCGCGTTGTAATTTTCGCTCATTTTAGGTTTCGTAAAAATTCTGTCCGTCAATGGGGCCACAGTTACCTGAATAATTAATCGCAAATAGAGCAGCAGTAATACTATACAATGTATCGAACAAAATTTAAATAGGTGGTCTCATACATTTTTCCTGATCGATTTAGAAAGATGTCAAATTGGGATTTCGGGCCCCAAAATGACAAATCCCTTCGTCGGCCGTTTTGTCCGAATTTGGTGGCTAATTTTTTTGAGAATTTTTATCGATATATAGCTTAGTTATCACTGTTTCAAACGCGTATATTGCCTAGGGACAAAACTTTTCTACCGAGCTGCAGAAGGGATCAACCCCTGATTTTCCAACACAATTTTGTTTCGGTATTCTCAGAGTGAACAAATGGGTTTGGGGCAATGATAATTTCAGTACCTTATCTACTGTTGCTGCGTAATTGCCGTGCTATGATGAAAAAATTTGATCGGCAAGGATTAAAGAATAAAAAGCAAAATTTAATGACGATGCCAGATCCCGTGTCGGTTACTCGACGTTACAATCGGTTGCAAAATTTTTCCCGTGAAAGCCGGGCGGTTTGATAAATATTGTTTACACGGTGTTCCCAACTAAATGTTTTCCAAAATAGGTGGAGCGCTTTTACATTCGCTGTCGTAATTGGATCGTTAAGCCCCTTTTCATCAGACTCATCCCGAATCGGGATTTTTTTTCCATACTATAGACAATAACGACGGGCTCTACAGTTGTTTGGTGAATTAGGCACCATAGCTAGAAAGGTATGATACTGGCGTTATAAACCGCCAATTATTCTGGCAGGATTCTGCCTTTAGAAACTTTCATAAGGCTGAAAGGGCAGAGGGCTCGCGGATGTCGCCGCGTCGGGTCAACCAGTGTCTCAAGGAGAACCGGTCATAGAAAAATAAATACAGGCTCGATCGACTAAATATTTTTATGTGCTATAGTAGTATCTTAGACTGAACTATGGGGGTAAAAATTCCGGCGGCCGGGTGGTATATGTTTTTACAAAACCGGCTTGAAGATCGATTGTAAAGACTTTCGGTCCAGCCTGATACTACTAATTACAGCCAAATACATCCCAAATTTCTGGATCGGAATGAGCGGAACGTCTGGAAAATACTTCAGCTGGACCGACGGGAGCGCTTTGGATTATTTCAATTGGGCTCCGGGTCGGTGCAGACGGATTAGCTTTAATATTTTCGAGATTTCGTGATGTCGATAATCCATAATGTCGAAATTTGATAACGTCCAGACTTCATAAAGTCGAAAATTCACAGTTTCCAAATTTTAGACTGTAGAAATTTCATAATGCCGACAGTTTATAATCTCGAGATTTTAGAATGTCGAAAATTCAAGATTCGCGTCCTGTTCTGTTAGCGGGGGGAAGGGGTTTTGGCGGGGAAACTATTTTTTTGTGATCCTACACAAAATATAAAACATTTTCGTAACATTTTAGTAAATTTTTGCATTTAAAATCCACATAAAATATAGTTTCGACAATTTTTGGCTTTTGGTCAAAGTCTATAAAAAAAAAGAACCAAATAATAACCAAATTTTCAGAATTTCAACGATTTAGAGTTTTTTTCGCGATCAGAAACTTAATGGCCTTTTTAGGGGGTTGTTTAAGAAATTTCGGCATCAGAATACCTGGCTCTTTTAGGCCAAAACTCTATTTATCTTAGGCTTCCCGACATACGACCCTTGCGTGGTGGAGGGATCTGACGGTTTGTGGAAAACAACAAATTGCGGTGCCACCTATTTTGGGATCTGCTTGAAGGCCCAGCCAAAGTGTGATTTTGGGTGGACACAATTGGCCGAGACCAGCCAGTGCTATTTGGTAGGTTCAATGTGCTTTTCGGCTTTCCCTACCGGATTTGCGTGAACGCACGCTGGGTATCGCCCTGCGTATCGCGCTGCGTATATTGTTGCGTATCACGCTACGTTTTTCTCGTTCTCTCTCTCCCCCTCTCTCCCTCTCTCTCTCCCTCTCTCTCTCTCTCTCTCTCTCTCTCTCTCTCTTTTTCTCTATCTCCCTCTCTCCCTCTCCCTACCCCCTCTCTCTCTTTCTCTCTCTCTCCACTCTCCCTCTCCGTCTCTCTCTCTATCACTCTCTTTCACTCTCTCTCACTCTCTCTCTCTCACTTTCTAATTCTCTCATTTCAGCCAGGCCAAGCCGCCACGCATGACGACGCCCTCGCCGCGTGCCGGAAGATGTACGCCAGGCTGACGTCGATCCACACCAAGTCGGAGAATGACTTCATTATGGGTATCCTAAAGATTTCGGTCTGATTTTTTCAATTTTTAGCTCTAGCCCCGCCGTCCCCCGTCCAGCAGCAGTGCAATCCGGAGGCGCCGTACGGAATTTGGACTGGAGGTTCGTTAAAGGGACCGGCAAGGCAGGACTATGGATTTTGTCTAAAGATGAAACTAATGAGAGGCTTGAGAAAAAAAATCATTATTTTTAGGTATGGCGATGAACGGGTACGATTCGTGGGCCGACGGGACCGCATTTTCTTATCCGAATCTTTATGGAAATGGAGATCCGTCGAGCGGTGCGATTTACGTAAGTTGTGATCTAAAGAAAATTATTTGCTATCGGAATGTCGAAAATCATAAGGTTGAATTTCATAACGCCGAATTTCCTAGTGTCGAAATTTCAATATCTCGACATTTTGCGTAGGATCTGGGTTTCTTTCGAAAGATTTGCTTATCTAAAATTCGACATTCTTTGGCATCGACATTATCAATTTTGAAAGTATTCGTTTCGGCATTTTGAAAGCAACCTAAAAACGCCAGTTTTTAGCTAGCAGCCGAGCCAGGATGCCCGGATTTCGGGAAATGGCGAGTAACCCCCTCGAAGAATCTGACTTTGAGCTATGTTTGCAAGAAAAACCCAATGTGAACATGTATTCAAGTGGAATAAATGATGAATTTGCTCATACTCTGCAAAGGTAATTTAAGTTAATGGTTATATAAATGACAGGGTTTTGAAGTATGGCATTTAATTCTAGAGTTTATTTTATTGGTTTTGATAAAACAAACAATTAGGTCAGCGTATAGCCGGAGGGCACGTTTTATCAGGAAGGAGTGTCCAACCGCACTCCCGATCGCTTGTTGTGCGCTCTCCCACTGTTCGCTTCCCCATCCCGACTCGCCCCCCACCTGGACCACCTCTCCGCCTCAAATAGGCACACCTTGCTTCAAGAGTATCGCTTCTGGCCCCTGGCTTAGATCAATTTGTAGTTTATGTTCTTATCGGCTTAATCTCCGATACGTACACTATTGTGTACAACGAGATTAACATATTTTTGGAAATGGTTCGGTTAGCAGAAGCTTGCTTCTCGCCAAACAGCGTCGTCCCGGCATTGCACATGCCGTCGGGATCGGCGCACACCCCACAACGGGTGAACAATCTCAATATACCAAATAGAAAGATTCAGTATCGTAGAAATCGTGACTGTGAAATTAATAGCATTATACTTATTGGTAGACAATGTGAAAGAGCGATGGCCCCGTGGTCGTGCTGTACAGGGTGTCCCAAAAAAAACCCCCCCTCGGCATTTGGCCGTCTTCCATCCAATCGGGACCAAATTTTTACCAGTGATGGGGACCCATAAAAACTATGTGCAGCCGAATTTTCTAAGCAAAATATTGTAAAGCAAAGAAGATATATCAAAATTAAGGTTAATTTTGCCGATTTCACTAGGATTTTGACGGATTTCGGCCTCGAAATGTTTAGCAAAAAGGAAGAGGGCGCGCTTTTCTACCTGTAGAAATTTTTTGATTTACGAAAATTACGCTTAAATTGGGCCTTTCGATCACTTTTTATTATCGAAATTGCTAGAAACTGGCCGAGAAATGACCATTTGTTGGAAAATTACGCAAAATCCGCATGCTAATTGCGAAAACATAGCCAAAAACGAGTACCGGCGTTTTCCAAAAATCAGTTTTTTAGCGATAATTTTTTGGTTTTACAATATTTTGCTTAGAAAATTTGGCTGCACATAGTTTTTATGGGTCCCCATCACTGGTAAAATTTGGCCCCGATCCGATAGAAGACGGCCAAGGCCGAGGGGATGGTTTTTTTTGGGACACCCTGTATATTAAAAGTTACTCTTAAAAGGCCGTCCGCGGGTCACGCGAACAGAGCCCAATATGGCTTGGCACAGTTTTTTTCGTCCCCGTTTTTTTGAAGCCATCGGATAGAGCATGGTCGAATTATTGGGGCTGCATAGCTTTGAAAGTTTGAAAAGTTAATTTTTGTGGTTTAAATGGACGTTGAAGTTGCAGACCCCCAAAAATTATCTTGGAAGTTACTTAACCAAATTCGCTGAAAATTTGTGCCATTACATAATTTTGGACGGGGATCATTTCTCTAATACATCGCAAAGCGTGAAAATAGCCGGAACATAGGAATATCGCGTACATAAAACGGTTTTTGGGGATTTTCGTTGTGAAGGGTTGTTGGCTGCGCGCTGTAAATAGCATAGAAAGATGCGCAAAAACTTTCTACATCGAATGGTGTATCATTTAGCGCGCAGACAGTAACCCTTCATATTCAAAAAACGCAATTTTTGAACGGGATAAAAACGGGTACCTACTCACGAGGTTTGCATATTTTGAAAAATCGGAAACGGGTATAGGTCTAAAGATCAAACTGTATCCATTGCAAAAAGAGCCAAAAAGAAATTCCCTTCCCACTCGGAACTGGCGATTTGCGGGGATCGAACCCGCGATGGTCCGCCTGGGGGGCACTGGGGACAGCCGTTAGTGGGCGCCGCCATGTCCCAGGCGAACGACCCGAGTTCAATCCCAGCCCCCTCTCAAAAATCGTATTTCTTTTTGCTCTTTTTTGCGATCGTGCGGTCGGACTCTCTAGATGGGAGTCCATGTTTTAGTTTTCATGAATATTCGAATTTTTTCTTTTTGGTAGCTTTTAAGCCCTTTTTTTAAGATGAAGGGTTATTGTCTGCGCGCTAAATGATACACCATTCGATGTAGAAAGTTTTTGCGCATCTTTCTATGCTATTTACAGCGCGCAGCCAACAACCCTTGACAACGAAAATCTCGAAAAACTGTTTTGTGTACGCGAGATTCCTATGTTCAGGTCATTTTGACGCTTTGCGATGTACTAGAGAAATGATCCCCGTCCAAAATTAGGTATTGGCACAAATTTTCAGCAAATTTGGTTAAGTAACTTCCAAGATAATTTTTGGGGGCATGCAACTTCAACGTCCATTTAAACCCCCAAATTAAACTTTTTAAACTTTCAAAACTATGCAGTCCCACTAATTCGACCATGCTCTATCCGATGGCGTCAAAAAAGTGGGGTCGAAAAACAGACTGTGCCAAGCCTAGTTCGGGTGGCTCGCAAACGGCCTTTTAAATTCTCAATTCTAAAGCTTGCCCAATATTGCATAGCTTCCCAAGCGATCGATGTGTGGGCGTTCTGTGCCGTATCATAAAAAAAAGATGGCAGAAACACCCACAGCCCCACAATGACAAAGTCGGGAAGGATGGATGAGTGTTAAAATGAGATAAGTCCCGATAAGCCATCCAGGGGTCTGTATAAATTTATGAGTCGGCTACTGGTCTGGGGTGTCGCTTTTCCTGTGAATTAATGGGTTCTGGGATGCTGCCGATTTTGCTAGTTTCGCTATATGTAGTCGGGATTTCAGCGAAATACCTCCCCGTGCCGTTGAGTAAGTTAATAAATACAACATTCTTCGAAGAGTCGCTGCTAATTTGCCTCAAACTGTCTTTCCACAAAGAATCTTTGCTAGCGGTCCATCTACCAATTCCTCAAATAGTCTGTGCTAGCATGCCTTCCCCGTAATGCTTGCAGGAACTTTGGCGGGCCTTGGATTTTCAAAAGCGCCTCAGCTAGTCTGCCTCCTGCCCGTATTTCTAAGGGATCTCTGCTAGTATGCCTGATATTCGGAAACCCCAAATAATCTCTGCCAGCCTGCCCTAAGCTTGGATTTCCCAAAGAATAGCTGCCAACCTGTCTTAGGATTGGATTTCCAGAAGAATCTCCGCTAGCAGCCCATTTTCCTAAAATAATGACTGCTAACATGCCCTCACAATAATTCTTCAACGAATGTCTGCTAGCCTACCCTTTTCTCAGATTTCCAAAAGCATCTCTGCTAGCTTTGCTGAGATTTCACAAGTGATCCCTGCTAGTGATGCCGCTAAAATTATTGAAAGAACCGCTGCTAGCACGCCCTATGCTTGGATTCCACACGTGATCGCTGCTAGAGTGCCTTATGCTCCGGTTTCCTCAAGGTAACCCGGCTAGCATGCCCGATGCTTGGATTCAGCAAAGGATTGCTGCTAGCCTGCCTTATGCTTGGCTATCCCAAAGAATCGCTGCTAGCATTCCCCACTTAAACTTAGGGTTTGATGGCAATCCAGATTCCGTCTCCAAATGCAAATTGCGACCTTTCAGACAATTTCTACGGTGCGGAGGTTTACTGTCAATCGTATGGGGCGCATTTGGTGTCGATTCACAACCTTTTCGACAATAATCAAGTGGAGGCTTTCATGAATCAACAGGGGTATCCGGATGCTTTTACCGGATTGAGGAGGGGCGTCGATGGAAGATGGACATATACCGATGGGACACCATCTATTTACGTCAACTGGGCTGCTTGTGGGTTTCAGAATTTGTAGTTTGAAAACGATAGATTTTTCTTAATTTGCAAATGTCGAAATTCTTAATGTTAAGATGTCAAAATGTCGACATTTCATAAGGTCGAATTTTCAGAATTTCGAATTTCCGAATTTCGAAATTTCTGAATGTCACAATTCCAGAAGGCCTAATCTTCAGAATGGAAAGCTTATACAATTTGCTGTACATTTCCAATAATATTTATGTAAATTTAATGTTCTAATTTAGTCCAACCTTCATCCGACAACTGCACGACAATTGGCATCGGTGGATTATGGTATTCAGTGCCATGTGAACAAATCCAAACGGCTATCTGCTATATCCCAGATGCGCCTACCGTAGGGCCACCCACTCTGGCGCCAACAAGTAAGTCCAAAGTACTTAAAAAAAAATGACTAGGTCAGAGTATAGCCGGAGGGCGCGTTTTAGCCGATACGGGGATCAGACCCCCCCCTCCGACCTATCTGTGCGCACTCTGAGTGTCCCCTTTCCTGTCCCCGCTCGCCCCTCACTTGGCCCACCTCCCCACCGGAAATACACACTACTCACATCATCTACATCGCTTCTGGCCCCTGGCTTAGATCAATTTGTAGTTTATGTTCTTATCGGCTTAATCTCCGATACGTACACTATTGTGTACAACGAGATTAACATATTTTTGGAAATGGTTCGGTTAGCAGAAGCTTGCTTCTCGCCAAACAGCGTCGTCCCGGCATTGCACATGCCGTCGGGATCGGCGCACACCCCCAAGTGGGGTGAACAATATGAACCCATAAAAAAAATCAATACATACATAAAACGAATTAACCGCAGATTCTAGGCTACAGAATACTTGCACAAAATTAACGTACGCTTCTAATAGGCTAAAGGGATCGATAACTGCCTATGAGAATCGGACAGGTTATATCCGGAAATGTTTAAGCAACCGCCCGTGAATAATTATTAAAGCAGCGTGCCACAGCGCGCAGCGTGCGTCAAATCCCGGAGCAGAAGGATTCCGGGGTCAGGCGGATGATTCACGGGATGCAAAAATACACAATATAGGTTAGATCAATTTATACTACTAGCGACGCTCCTTTGGTGTGTGTAAGGTGTAGCCTCTATCTAGGCAGATTTGTCGCGCTTTGTTTTCGATCGTGTTGGATTTTTTTTAGATTGCATTGAGATTGTTCACCCATTGTGGGGCGTGCGCCGTTCCCGACGGCATGTGCAATGCCGGGACGACGCTGTTTGGCGAGAAGCAAGCTTCTGCTAACCGAACCATTTCCAAAAATATGTATGTTAATCTCGTTGTACACAATAGTGTACGTATCGGAGATTAAGCCGATAAGAACAGTTACTAACAATTGATCATAGCCAGGGGCCAGAAGCGATGTTGATGAGGGGAGGGTGTGTATTTCCGGTGGGGAGGTGGGCCAGGTGTGGGGCGTGTCGGGACGGGGAAGCGAACAGTGGGAGAGCGCGCAACCAATTAGTGGGGAGGGGGGTCTAAACCCGGGGATCTTTTCACGGACCTGGAATTATATATTTTATGATTCTGTATATTTCGATTTTTAGAACTTCAAAGCTTGCAAATAGATTAATCCCGTGTTTTCAGTGGGCCCAATTTCCTATCAATGCCCGACCGGCTGGAGCTACTTTGCGACTAGTGGAGCGTGTTATTGGGTGTGTTTTGGACGGGTTACGGTATGAAAAGCTTCTTTTAGGTTGGATCCAGCAATACCTTGGATGCGGCTAGGACTACCTGTAAGCAGGTCGGCTCGGACTTGGTGTCCATTCATAGCAGCGAGGAGAATGGATTCGTTTTGGGTATGTCTCTCTCTCTCTATCTCTCTCGCCCTCTCTCGCTCTCTTCTCTTTCTCTCACTCTCACTCTCTATCTCTCTCGCCCTCTCTCGCTCTCTTCTCTTTCTCTCACTCTCACTCTCTCTCTCTCTCTCTCTCTCTCTCTCTCTCTCTCTAACGAAACCTTTCAGGCCTCGCCTTCCGCTACACTCAAAACTGCACGAAGGGCAGCCCCTGGTGGTACTCGGTCTGGACTGGAGGTACGGTAGTTCTAAAAACTAACTTTGATTTTCGGTTTGAAATCAAAGCTGTTTTTAGGAGTAGCCTCAAATGGATACAACTACTGGTCTGATGGGACCCCGTTCACCTATTCGAATTTCTACGGTCATGGCGATCCAACGAGTGGAGCGATTTATGTGAGTTAGAGAGAGAGCGAGAGAGAGAGAGAGAGAGAGAGAGAGAGAGAGAGAGAGAGAGAGGGCGACAGTTCAATTTTCAGCTAATCACCCAAAGCGGCTGCACCGATTTTTCGCAATGGCGCATCACCCCTTCGCAGACGGTGTCGCTGACCAACTTCGTCTGCAAAAAGTGGCCTCCTATCGGCTGGATTAGCTTCAAAGCTAGAAACGGAATAAATGTGAGCATCAGATTATCTCCTGCATTCCGACAACCGTATGCCGCTTGCAATGAAGCTATAAGCTATAAGAGTATACCCCAGGGGCACATTTTAGCAGATCACCTGGGTAAGACCACCCCTCCTACCCCCGGGTTGTGCGCTCTCCCAATGTCCCCTTCCCCGTCCCCACTCGCCCCCCACCTGGCCCACCTCCCCACCGGAAATACACACCCCTCCCCCCCACACCCACACTCCACACACACCCCTTAGTTACTGTTCTTATCGGCTTAATCTCCGATACGTACACTATTGTGTACAACGAGATTAACATACATATTTTTGGAAATGGTTCGGTTAGCAGAAGCTTGCTTCTCGCCAAACAGCGTCGTCCCGGCATTGGACATGCTGTCGGGATCGGCGCACACCCCGAAATGGGGTGCACAATCTGAAATACAAAATACAAGCAAAACCCTGATTATAGAACTCGTTATAGTAAAATAGTGCCTAGTAGTATGCAAAGCGAAAATTCATAATCATGTCAAGAAATCGCCAAATATCATACAACAGAGAATTTGTTCGAGTGTTTGACCTGTCGTCGTAGCCGGTGCTGTGACTCGCTCACAGCCATCGTCATGGCTCTCTGTACTGGCCTCTGCTCATTAAACCTGCCTGATGCAAGCCGACAGATCCAGAAGCGAGAAGGATGCTTCGACCGTCAATTTGTACCGTCTGCCCAAGCTCAAGCCGTGCCCGTGTTCCACTGCAATGCGCCTTCATCTACAAGCTCTGCAATGCGCCTTCATCGACAAGCTCTACAATGCGCCATCACCCCAAGAATTGACATGAACCCCGTCCCGGGTAAATACATTCCGCCCCCGTGTCACGGGCTCTCGGAATTTCCATCTCAAATCCCACGTTGTGCTCTATGCCCACCCTTCCAACTCTACAATCACTTGTGATATAAGAGTTCACCATTCACACCTCAAAATTGACTGTAACTCCCCCAAATTGGCGCTTAACCGTCAATCCTGTATCCATTCTAATCGCGCATATGATTACTGTATTTCCGGCCCTCGGGCCGAGCATGCACTGATAAATTTAA